CCGTCCCCTGTCTGGCTGCCCATCAGGCTGTGCGTGGCGCACTTAAACGAGGTTAACTGTACTCACTGCCCAGTCAAACGGGCCAATATGCTTCGCTCTTGCCTCAAATTTAATTTCAACTTACGTCAGCTGTGCTCCAGCTCCGGCTCCGGCTTCAGCTTCAGCTCTAGCTCCATCTTCAGGGCTGCGGCGGTCAATGCACGCATTACCAGTTCTGCTCAGCTTATCAACAGCCGATCGCCAGACCAGCTTTAATTCTATCTCCGATCTCTCTCCTATCTGCAGCTCCAACTTCAACTCCAACTCCATCTCCATCTGCATTGGCCCACCAAGCCCATCAAATCAGCAACGTGACGCTGCCCTTAGGGCCCATAACAGTGTTATGGACATTCCCTGTGGAACTTATATATAACACGGCCATAACATTTGCACCGCAATAATAGTAGTAATAGTAACAGAGAGTGCCTCTAGTGGCTCGGCGGTTGTGGCACCGCTTCATTCATCCAAGGATAATGTTACAGTTAATGCTACGGCCAACTAAGTAATTTAATTTGCAACAGCAACAGCAACAACAACAACGTCGAATTGTTATAAAGTAACCAAAAAAAAAGTATATATATGTATATATACAGACAAATAAAAATAAGAGACAAGAAAGAATGACTATCCTCGACACACAAAAGATTAAATACTCTTCTAGATACATTCTCTACCGAGAATTTCTCTCTGATATAGTGACCGTGACTATTCACTTTCTTGACGATGGCATAATACTAAGGTTAGTTTGCATAGAAGCATACAGACTTACAAACGGATATGGCTATGTCGACTCGACTGCTGATACTGAGAGGCAATATTAAGACTTCAGTGAGGCAATATTAAGGGTTCAGTGATATCACCTTAAATGCGTTACACATTACATGACAAAATTATAATACCCTCTACAAGGGCATAACAATCCAAGCCCAGACAAACAAATGGACAGTACCGCAGACTGCACTTCCTGAGGTGATTTTTGCGACTCGCTGGCTCAGAGCTGGAGATGAGCCCAAAAGGTGATCGTTGCCAGAGCTTTGTTTAAATATCTAACATTATGTTCTGGCTCATAAACTGACGATTTTAAACCCAATAACAACAAACAATGAAAAACGTGCGAAATAACAAGGAGCCAACTGGCAATAAACCAGCAAAAGTCCAGTTAAATGTCTTCAAAGTTCATTCAAATACCCCTAAAGTCAGGCTAAATCAGTAAAAATGTTAGAAGAGCCACTGGGAAATTACTGGGTATGTTTAAAGGCGTATTTTATGAAGGCTGTGATTGCTCGTTCAGAGACTTTCTTCAAAAATGTTCGTTGGGTTTCTACTCTTAAAAATAATAAACTTTGTTAATTAATAAGCATATATGGCCTGCAAACGAAAATGTGCTTAGCTATTCCCGTTCAGGCTAATTCGGACTGTTCTTTATTCTATTCTTATTTATTCTAATTACTTTTTCTGATCAAGATTATTTTTTTTTGCTTTTTGCTATTTAATCGTATTAAATTATATTAGTGATCAATAAAATATATTTAACATTATTAATAAAATCTAATATATAAAAAAAAAAACAATTTATCGGTAATTTCAATAAAACAATTTATCGGTAATTTATGGATAATTTTGACATAATATTTTTAAATTAATTTTTCCAAAAAGGAAAAATGCTAAAAAGAAACACCCTGAACTTTTGATCTTTTAATATTAAATTTAATAAATTAAAAAAATGCTCCAAATAAGGGTCGAATTTGTGAAATCTAATAAATTTAAATCATTTTTTGCTTAAGCAGGTTAACTCTAAATTAAAACCGCTTATCTTAATAATAAAAATATTTGTGATAAATTGAGATTCCTTTGAATAGTCTAACCCAAAAATCATATCTCAAATTCGTGCTCTACTTCTGTTACCTGTAGCAGATCTTGTAGCATTGCGCATCTCTGACAGTCACCGTCGCATCGCGTCGTCCCATTGCAATGATCGGTAAGAGCATTTGAGGCAAGTCGTGTTGCCCCATTACGCCATAAAGCGTTACCAAATGCCATTTGCACGTGAATATTGGCACGCCCCTGGGTTAAAGAAATGCAACACAGATAGGAACAGATCAAATTGGTGCTCCATATTGCTGGGTGAGCGATGGACGATGGGCGATGGGCGATGAGCGATGAGCGTAGCTGATAATGATGATGGGCATGGTGAAATGAAATTGTTGCTTTCGATTTTGGCTAATTGCAGAGTCCATTGAAATGCCTACTTAGGGCTAATTGGTCCCATCGGAAGCGCCGCCGAGACATGGACAAACATTTCACGCTGTGCTGTCATAGATGTTGTAATTGATGCCGCCGCTGTGCCATGTCACAGATGTCAACCAGCTGGCCAGTATATAAAAGCGATTGGAATATATCAAACCTAGGAACAGACCAAGACCAAGACCAAGACCCAGACACGGGCACAGACACAGACTGAGAGTCAGAGTTGGAGTCGGACCTAGGAGCAGATAAAAAGGACGGCAAATCTAACAACTTTGATTGACTTGTGATTTGAAGGCGCGCCTAATTGAAGCGAGGCCAGCCAGCTAGCCAGCCAGCCAGTGAGTGGATCCGGACCGGAGATCGAGACCAAGACTAAGACCGAGACGCAGACACTGACATGCCTTGGAGACTGGACACATGGACACATGACACTGTCTTTCTGTCTTTCACTGTGTTGTTGTCGGTAGCACTGGCAAAATGTTCGTGAGAAATGTCATTAATACGAACGACGTGTTGTGGATGTGGTTCTAGTAACTATTCAAGTACTACGTATGTGTCCATCTTCAGGCAGCAGCAGGGATCTCCACTCCATGTGCTGCATTGTTGCACTTAATTAATGCGAGGCTGCAGGCCTGAGGTTCACTTCATGCACGCCCTCGGCAATCGTGTGTGTATGTGTGTGTGTGTGTGTGTGTGTGTGTGTGTTGCCATATAGGGTCGTGTGATAGGCGTTGGTCGTGTAATGGAAATGCTATAAGGCACTTACACTTAGAACCTGGCGATAATAGCTTAACATTAACGTTTACCAACTGGCACCCTATTGCAATCGGCTGACAAAAGCGTTAAGAAATTATTTGAAACATGCAGCTGCGGTGCTGCATTGGCATCCAATGCGATACCTCCCTGCAACGTATATATACATATATATATATATATATATATCGATATATATATATACAGCCATACATTTTTATATACAGAGAGAAAAACGGAAAGCTTATGACAAGAATTTTCGTAGTTGATTCCAAAATGAAAATGTCCTAGGGGTTTAAGATCGAATCAAGCAAAATATTTTTTTTAAATAAATTAAAATTGAAACTTCTTGAATAAATTGATCGGGAACTGCAAATCAGATTGGCTTGAATTCAGTATTATATAAATTTGCCTACAGCTTAAACTGGAACTGTTTTAAAGACAGGTTGAGCTGTGAAAGTTTTTTACAAGGTGAAAAGGAAGATTATTTAAGTTGTGCCTACTTATACATATATAATCTATAAATTTTATATTTTATATTTTATACTCAAAAAGACATACTTGGAATAAGAATTTTATGTTTGAATCACGTAGTTTCAGTGTTATCGTATTCCACGGCTTAACTTGATTCAATTCCGAAATTCTTGATTTTTTCTCTCTCTGTATGTAAGTATGTATACATATTCGATACCACATAACATCCCGTGCCTGTTGTTTGAAGGCGTTAATAGGCGCTGCTATGCCAATAATTTGCAATTATACTTAATTGTAATTGTAATCGTTGTAGTATGGCACAACAACTTGTAATTGAGTGCGAGTTGTGTTCTTCTTCTTCTTTTCTGTGGCTGTTGTTAATAGGTTTCTTTTTTTTTTTTTGTTTTTTATCGGCTTTTATTGAGAGTATTTGCTCATCGTGTGTGCCTGTAGGCATTATGTACATAACATTTCGTGTTGGCTTAAACGATCGTTTACTTGGTTAAACAAATGTTTTTCTTCTTAAATGTTGCCCATTATTCGGGCCTAATTGCTTATAGAGGCATAAATCTTTTGATATTTGCCAAACATAATTGTGTGTTATAAATCTGTCAGCATTATTCAAGCGAACGTTAATAAAGCATTTGCAGACATACAAATTGTGCTTATTAAAATCCATCTTTTTTTGCTATAATATTTTGCTATATTTGTGCCTCTATAGAGCATATTTAGAATGTCCTAAACTCTATTTAAAAATTATGCATCTTTTGTATTTGATTATAGCATTAAAGATATCGACTGTCAATTCAATTATAATGACAAAATATTTAGATCTATTTAAACTAAATTCAAGTAAGACAAAACTTATTTTGATTTGAAACACAGTTTGAAAGATAAAAAAAAAATACTATTATTTTCTGATACAACCGATATCTACAATATGCCATCTTTTCACCATTATTGCAGACTAATTGAGAACAGCTTTAGTCAATATGATTAGATCAACGTAAGTACATATAAATATGGCCTGTGTAAATGGTGAAAATTGTGTTTTATATATTTTTTATATTTGTATATATGGAAGCACAAATTGTAAATCCATTTCGAGTTCTAATCGTTCAAATTCGATTCTTGCTTACACTAAAAACTTGTCAAAATTGTATAGCTTAATATGTTGTGTGTGTGTATGTGCGTGTATGTGTGTGTGCGAGTTGACATATGTTGTAAAGTAAACTTAGTAAACTATCAAATATCGTAACTAAGCATTCGAATTCCATTGCTTATAAACTAAAAGCTTAGCAATTATGACAAATGTATTACACTATTTATTCCGTTTATTCACTTATTGCGGCTCCTTGGGAGCCGTATTAGGGGCGTGTGGGGTGTGCGGGGAGCGCTTTGTGCTGCAGCTTAATATTAAGAAAAAATACTCAGTTCCAGTGTTCTCGATAGCTCCAGTGCTTCTCTGCATTCCTCTGCTCCTCCAGTCAGTACAATATGCCCGGATGTACAGCGCCGCTGCGCTGGAAGTAAACATTCGGATTGCTGCTCAATGTCGGCTCCAGCGTTGTATAAAGATTCGTTTCATCTGGTCGTATAAACATTCCTGTAGAATCGAGTCAATATACGCCAAAGTTTGAAATGCATTAGTACTATAAGTGGGTCGCTGATTAAATATTCAGTCATCATGACTTTTAAGTCATTCTCAAGCAATCATTTTTTTTTTTAAACTGCAAATTTTTAATTTTTTTCTTTTATATTATTCAACCGCATTTTATGCCCATGTGGACGGTGTACAAATTGTTCATGTTATGTGTAACACAGTACATTTATCGAAATCGACCGGATCGGACCACAATATCATATAGAACGCTTCAAAAATTATTGGTCGAAAGTCGGACTCGTGAGCGAATAATAATATCTGAACTAAATTCAATAATTACAAGCATCCCTATTCTCTAGCCTAGTCACAAGCTTGAATCGAATGACTGTAACATAAACATTTGCAATATATATCTGCATCTTCATGAAGTGCTCCAAATTGTGCATTAAAATCAAGTTAATAATGTATGTTATTATATATTACATACGAATATCAATATGAAAAGAGCTATTAGTCTGGATCGAACTACAGGGTACGTTTCTTTCGGGAACAATATTTATAGCCCCATTGCAAGGGACTGGAACTGACGTGTAAAACGAGATTATTACATAAAGCAGCCTCCTACCATGAAAGAATCTCTTTTAGTCGCCCCATGAAAAAATAAAGCTGTTATGTATGTACAAGGGTATTTTATCTTCGGCGAGCCGAGGATAGCCTTTCCTTCTTGATATTGGCTTTATTTTGCAAGCAATCTTCGATGCAAGAAATCTTTACACACACTCAAATATTGACCTAAAACTAGAACTAAGCAGCTTTGTTATTACCTGGCGCATAACGCAGAGTTTTGGCCAACTGCGCCGCCTGTGTCATGGAGGTAAGCGAGTTACCCAGCTGTTTGAGGGTCAACGGTGTGGCCAGTTGTGTGGGCGGTGCGGGCGGTGGTGGTAGTGGTGGTGGTGCGGGTGGGTAATAACAGAACGGGTGCGCGCTCAAATGTGCTGGAAAATAGTGATACATACGTGTATAGCTCGGCGGTGCGGCGGTGACCAAAGCGACTCGATCTGCTGGCCCGGAACCCGTAGTTCGTGTGCAAGGGTTTTGTAGTATGTGTGTGTGTGTGTGGTGTGCGGTGTGTGTGAGCGCGCATATTTACCAAACCAAACCAAACCAAAATCAAACCCAGCCGTGACACACACACACAGTCATATGCATAAATACATATATGGAATAAATATATTTACAGTAATTATTTTGTTGAACCATACATACAAAAAAAATAAATATATATATATGTATATATATATAAATATTTTTTTTATTTTTACAATAAATGTAAATTTAATTAAATTTCAATATAGTAAAATACCGGAAACATAACCAAAAATGAGAAAACATTCAAAATGATTGATGAATAAAATAATGCAAATTACAAAAACAACATAAAATGATTATGTAATGTTTGTTATGCGCGTGTATGTGTGTGTGTGAGCGTGACAAGAATTTTATATGCATGATGTTGACATATTCGGCGAAGGAGACCATTGGATTTTTATGTTGCAGCCGTTGCAATGATTTGTTTTGATTATATATTTTGTTTTTTTTTTTTGTATGTTTGATGTTGATGATATTGTGATGGCGATGATGATCATGTTTGATGAGTTGACAAAAATATACGATAAAAAAATGAATATATAGAAAATCGTATATGCGAATTAAGTGCAAGGCAGCTTAGATCTAAAGCTTAATAATAAAAATAAAAAAAAAAACATAAAAAAACATTTCATATATCAAATTGATGTCATAATTTCTGCATCTGGCACACACTGCGGACGGCCCCAACCGCTGAACACTGACCCAACTGGCCCAAACATAACAACCCAATTTTCAAATTACTCTCTGCCATATTTCACACTTTTGCCTTTGCCAAAGCGCCGGCTAAACAGCAATTTACGAGCTTAATGATGTCAAATCTGTGCGCGAGTGGAGATAAAACCTTTAATGTCAATGGGCCAACATTATAACACCCTCAAGCCATAGAGAAAGTCGTGGAGTCGCTCGGTATGTTGTTGATTGTAGCTCGTTTATCGTATTGAGCAAAACCTTTAGCGTTTTCATAGGAATTTAAAGCCCGAGTTTTGCTTATTACACTTTTGTGCTACAAGGTTATTAACAGCACATCGCTTTTTTAGACTCTTTTATAAATCAATTTATAGTTCTCATAAGCAAATAATCAGTGTTCCTAAATTTCGGTTGACCAAAAATCAACCGAACCGATATAAAAAATTTTGATGGAAGGGAAGGGTCTTTCCTAAACTATAAAAAACATCATAACTCAAAACATAAAACCTAACACATTTATATAACCATTTTAGTAAGATACTTTTCATTATTTTGAATCTCATATATGAAAATATAAGCCTTGCAATATTTTCAGAACAACGGGCAAATATAAAAAATACTAAATTGTTCATTAAAAGTGGATGCAACGAAAAAGAGCTTCACGCATCGAATATCAAAGCAGAGAGTTCTTTTGAGCCATGAATCGAACCATATTCCGTATTTTTAGGGATTTGCCGCTATCGGATGAGCTTCTTTGATCTTTGATCTGAGTATAATTTAAATTTTTATAATTATTTTAAAAAGCGAACATAACAGTGAATTTATAAGTACACATTTTTTCGGTAAAAGACTTTAATGCTTACAAGTTACTCAAGTAGTCGCCCTTTTTCTTTACCACTCTCTAATTTGACTTCAGTCCCTTGTTTCAAATTTCATACATTCTTAATTGTATTTAAAATTCAATTTTATTATTAACTTAGAAGTTACAACTCCATCAATTTTGTGGCCTATGTCTTTTGTTTATGTTCTTTTTTGTGACTAAGCTCGAGCTTAGCATTAGAGACAACATGCTACATATATGAAGTATGTAGTTTTGTTTTCATATGTATCAGACAGTAAGTTGAAATACTTAGTAATATATTTACTCTAATTTATAATGTTTGTCGCCCGAGTCTTATGTTTCAGTTCTGTTTTTACTAACTTCGAGCTTATCATTATAGACAGCAGCTTATCATTATAGACAGCAAAGATATGCGTCTAAATAATCAGTGAGAAACTTTACATACATACAAAGCCAAACAAATATGAGCCAATCAGCAATGAGCGCGTTGCCAACCTAAACCAGAGGCAACTTGAATGCTGTCGCTGCCCGATTTTTCAGCCATGCTTATAAATTATGATTATTATATTTTCAACAGCTTGCAAGCCAAAGTAAGAAAATGGCACACAAACACAAACACACTTGCACACGCACACATAAGCTACACACAGTAAACTATGTTAATGACATAAAAACCGAACAAAAATAACAGAGGCTGAGATAAAAACTTTGACTCTGGAATTGCTAAACTAGGAACTGGGACCGGGACCGGGACGGCGACTGCGGCTGGGGCCGGGGTCGAGGCTGAGGCTGACTGCTGAACTCTTGACAGTGTTAAATGCAGCAGTTACACACATGCGCCATCTATCTGACTGGCTGGCTTTTCTTTGGCTTTGTTTTTTTTTTGCTGCTGCAAAGAGTAAGCCCCTCCATTCCCAAACCATTCTTCTTCATGCTCTTGGTTTTCTAATTAACTTAGAACAAATACTGCAATTAAGCTCGCTTGTTTCTGCTGGCTGCCCTGGCGGCGCACGAGCTGTGAATCTGGAATTATGTGTCAGAAAATGAAAATACATGTGTATATGCGACTGTGTATGGGTGTGCATATGTGTATGTGTATGTTTGCATGCACATTTGCAAACTAGTTTGTAACTGCGGCTGCTGCTGCTGCTGTTTTGCCGCTAGCTGAAGCGGCAAATTTGGCTTAATTCTTAGAGCACGGCCACTGCCACGGAGGCTGCTGCCTGATTCCATTTGCAGCCCGGCAAATAAGATTTCTACTTACTTACTTCACACTAAGCGCAGTTGCTGCTTGTGCTAAAATGTCTGTCAGCTCGCTTTACAATTATGAATTATGCTCGCTGGCATAAAATACGCCACTTTGTGGCTGCTGCTGCTGCCACTAGCCATAGCTGTCTGTTCTGACCGGTAAGAAACAGAAAACAAAAAGAAAATAAACCAAAAACAAAAACAACAACAAAATAAGCGGCTAATTAAGTGCAAATATGTATGACCAGGCTCAACTGCGCTGCTGCTGCTCTTCGTGCGTGTTCCGCGGCGCATTCGTGTTGGTGCATTCGCGCTAACATGTGTGGGCGTAAAGTCACAGTTCGCTAGAGATGACAGTGACTGCCAGTGATAGTGACTGCTATTTAGTTGAATTCACTTAAAGATATTATTGAACAGGCTCTTGTAGAGGTATATGGAATGTAGGGATTCGGTAAGGACGAGATCTTTTAAGAACTTAAGTATATTTTAATGCCAGACACAATGATAATTGTTAGTTTTTAATTCTATACTATTTATTTTTATTCAATCTTCAATTTTATTGAAATTTATTTTTATATGAATGCATTTATATTTCTTTTAGTGAAGTGTAATTAATTAGGCTTAACCCTTTCCAATATTTTTATTGTTTTTGGTCAAGTTGAGAAAAACATAACATATTTATAAATAGAATATGTGCAACTGCTTTTAAATTTAAATAAATATATATATGTATATGTAATAAATAAAATATATTTAAATCTATGCCAATATATTATTTGGGAAGCTCTAAGATCCATCCGCCTTGACCATGAAAATCACATAATTGCTCATCTCTATTGACAGTCAGCTTACCGCCAAAGATTTTCCACGTTTTGCATTTTGCAGTTGTCGTTTACGGGAAGTTCTCGGATCTAACCGCCTTACTCACTCACTCTCTATTCCCCCCCACTCCCCTATCTTTCTCTCTTTCTCGCTCTCTCCAACAGCTAGCGCTGGCAACAAGTTAAAGGTAAACCAACTGCCGCACGTTGACTGATTGCTACGTGCAGATTGTCATTGTTCGCTTTTGTTGTTGCTGATGTTTTTGTTGTTGTTGTTGTCGCTGTTCTATCCGTATTGCAAACTATTCTTATTGTTGTTGTTTGTTGCTACATACTTTGCAGACTTGAGTAATTTCCTTGGCGAGCGTCGAGTTTTTCCTTATTGGCTCCGGCTCTAACTTCAACTACAGCTCAGGGGTCTGTTGTTTGAGCTCTGGGGTCTCGGGTCTGGGGCTTGTACAGTGGGTTCTACTATGTCTATGCCTATGCCTGTGTCTGTGTCTATGTGTGTGCTGCGAGAGTGAGTTGCCAGATGTTGTGATATCACGAAGCAGCATTATAACTAATTGGCCACGTTCGTTGGGAGCTCTCTGTGTAGAGTTCATTGTCATGAACGCTGGCTGCTCGCTAGTCTCGCTCTAGGCGGAAGAAAAGCATTTTTCACATGCCCACAATGCATCGCAATTTGCATATTTTGGGCAAGGGCGTATGACCTTCAAATTGCTACAATTCAATTTGCATTATATGCGTGTTGCACTAACCGCGAAGGAAAGACAGACAGACCATGTACCAATCAAGCAACCAGTGCCTGCCTGATACCGTACGCAGTCGCCAGCGTCTTGGCCAATTTAGCGTAATAATTGAACGTATGCAGTTGGCATGGCTCATTGGCAGTGGCTGCTGCTCCACTCGCTTGGCTAACTGCTGTTGGCTGGCTGGCTACTTCAATCGCTTGGCTTTTCCGCTTTCGGTTTCATTGCAACAATTCGGAACTGGTTATCGATTACGTTTACATCGTCGTCCAAGTCGAAGTCGCGCAGTCGTTGCGAGCAGCGGCTGCGGCTCTGGCTCTGGCTACGGTTGTGGCAGTGGCTGCTACTTCTAGGCAAAAATTAAATATCATCCAGCCAGAGGTTCAGGCTGGGCAACGACTACGACTTTGAGTGGGGCGCTGTTATTGCTGTTATTGCAAAACCGCTATAATTTTGTGGTAATATACAGCGACGCTCGTTTCAAGCACGTGCTGCAG